CATCGGGAACGCAATTATTGCGTAATGTACAACTGTTTATTGCTTCGGAGGCAGGAGTATAGTGTCATGTTCTAGGGTTTACGGCTTCAGGGACGCGAATACGGCGTGATTTGCAAACGTTTGTGATCTCGGAGACGCAAGTATGGGTAATTTACAAAAGTTGTATGGTTTCGGCGACACGAATATGGCGTATTTTGCGAGGGTTTATGGCTTCGGGGACGCGAGTGTCAGGTAGTTCACTTAGGTGTATGGCCTCGGGGACGCGAATATCGCGTAATTCACGAGGGTTTCTGGCCTCGGGGGCGCGAGGTACAAGCAGTTTTACGTGTCCCCCCCCCCCGAGGAATTCAGAATACGGGGTTTGGGCATGGTAAAAATGGCAGTTCGCGGCTCCCCCCCTCGCGCGGTCCATCAACAAGGAACAGTCAGCAGCACAAAGCAATATTGTAAACAGTGGAAACTGGAAATTGGAGCTGGCGCAGGGAGCAGCAAACCCTGGTCCTACAGTCTGGTAGCCCCACAGGGGGGCCACCAGGGGGGCCGGCGGATGTTGCATCTTCTTCCCAAGCAGGGTCGCCTATTGTGCGTTCTGCGTGGCATCTGCGCGTTCCCGATGTTGTCGAGGCCGCGCGGATCTCTGAGGGCTCATCTCGCAGCCCCGGCGGCGCCTCGTGCCGGGCGCGGAGGAAGTTGGCGTAATTCTGTCCCGAGTGCGCGCGACGCAGCTCTCTCGATGGAAGCGGGCTCCACGATCAATGAGCTGCCGCCAGATTGCAACCGAAGTTATGTGCCTTCCTTCGTCCGAAGCAACCAGCGCGCGCCCACCCTTCGCTAGGCGAGTCTTGCGCGCCCGCTGGGACGAGCCTGTTGTGTGTGATGCGTGCTGATAGCGGGCTCTTGGCTAGTTCGTTCCAGGAGTGCTCGGGGCCTCTCGCTGCCGCAATCGCGTCTCCCATGCAGCGTTTTTTTGGGGGGGGAGGGGGTGTTGTTTTGTTATAAAGGCCGCTCCCGCCTCAGGAATGCACGCGAATTTGATCGCATAAGTACGATGTCCGGCCTCGAAAGGAATGCGGCCCCCATCTGATTTGATTTGGAGGCCGATTTCCTCCGTATTGGTGGCCGCTCCGGATGCCGCGGGCGCCCCCCCCTCGCCCCCCCCCCCGTTTGCAATGTCGTCCGTTGCTTGAATGCAGCGCGCGCGATCAGTCAGAATGATCAGGCGTTTCAGGGCCTCTCTGTGGCCAGCAGCGTTCCCCAGGGGTGCCCGCTTTCCCCCTTGACATTTGCGCTGGCCACTGAACTGCCGCTGCGTCGGGCTTGCCGGCAGCCCCCCTCGGGGCATGGAGCGCGCGCGCGGGCGGCGGCGCTGTGGCGCCGCGAAATTTGTTTCTCGCGAGGCGCCAGTTGTCTTTCGCGCGCATATGGGATCGGACGCTTTCGGACCTGCGCCTGAGAGCGGCGAAGACCGTCTTCATTCCCCTCTGGGGAACTTCATCGCAGCGGACTTCGCGCTGCAAGCCGCCAGCTTGGGGTTCAGGGTTGGTCCGGCTCGGTGCGAGGCCGAGTGGGCCCGATCAGTCTCCGAGTTTTCGGCTCGCGTTCGTTTGTGGTCTGATCTCGGGCTCGGGCTACAACTGAGAGGCCACTGCGCTCTCCCGACTCCTCCCGCCCAGGCGGATGGCGTGCAGCGGCTGATCAGTAGTATAGCTCAGAGGCTTTGACCACCTTCCCGGTCAGTCTCCACTGCCCGCAGAATTGCGCTTGGGCCGCCGAGCTCCGAGTGGCAAACTCTCCTGTGCAAGACCGCAGTGTGGTGTCTGATCCATTCGCTTGGGCACGGTTGGGCACGTAGTTCTCTGCGCGCGCGGCCGCGTGGGCAAGAGCGGCATGCTTCGCGTTATGTCTCGGTGCTCGCATCGGCCACCCGCCGCGCGCGTTCGTCGGGCCTCTGGGCATTCCACGACCAGAGCGCCCCCTGCAGTTCGATTCGGGCGAATCGGGCCGGCCCTAAACATAGCGAAGCCCGTTTCGGCTACAAGTTGGCCAACTGGCCGGCGTCCGTTCCAAATGGCCGTCTCGCTCGTAGAGCGCCGAGCACACTCCAGAGGCTGAGTCGTCTTGTGCCGCCGCGGGTCATGGCCGCCGCGTGGAGGTCGCAATGGAATGGATTCGGGGGTGGACAGAACCCCCCCACCCTGACATGTCGATTAGTGACTTGTCCGTGTTCGGTTCTCGAGAGGGCGCCGCGGCCGTTATTTTCCAGGCTTGCGCCCGCCAGTTTTGGGCCCGAGGTCGTTTTTACTAAACCACGTTTTACTAAACGGGACTCTGTCCATCCCCGATGGATGGCGCGCTGCGCGCCGACCTCCACAAGTCGGGCGCCGTGCCCCAGGGTGCTTCCGCGGTGCGCGGGATTGCACTGCACGCTGCGCCCGCTGTCCTCGCGTGGCGAGGCTGCGCTGCAGATGCCTCGGTCTCCGGCGTGCGAGTCTTGGGATTTGTTCTTTGTTTGGGCACAGCTGGTGACAGGGAGCTCAGCTTGGCACGTGCGTCGTTTTCAGATATGCCGATTGCATTTGTGGCAATCCGGTGCCGGGCGGCACGGCATGTTTTGACACTCTGGAGCATCGGTGCAAAACGGGCGTGGCGGTCCACGCCACCCTAACGCGGGCATGCGGCCGAAGATGGTGTGACACAGCTAGCCGCCGCTAGCGGCCGGCCCTCTATCTCCCTCCTCATCTATTCTGCCTCCCCTCCTCCCTCCTCGTCTCGTTCTTGCAGGTTTTAGTATGTCAGTTGTGTGTGCCTCCCAGGCCATGGTCCACTTCGAGTGTTTGCCTATTGCAGGTCGGCGCACGTTGTGTTCTTGGTTTGCCTGGCGCGCGGCCGATTCAGGTGATTTTTTTCCTGTTCACGCCAGGAGGGCAACTTGCTCGTTGCACTCTGGCAGCCTTTGCCATGTGGACCCTTAATGGTCATCGTCTCCCGATAAACAAAAGAGGACTGATGCGGATCAGCAGTGTGAGGAGAAGAGGGAGGAATCTGGAAAGGTAGGGGAATTTGAGAGGTGTGGCGGTGGAGGAATACCAGGAGGAAGGATCGAGCGAAGATTGGAGAGACAAGAGCGGGGATAGCGAGGGATGAAACTTATCCCGGCGAAGGACCCAACCAACTGCAAGCTGCAGTTGTGAGCCCCACCTTCGGTGGATTTCCCTGTGGGGCCACGAAATTCGCGAAGGGTTCGTCGAAATGGGTGCGATGGCGCCATGCGAACCGTGCCATTGGGGCGGTGTGCCGACATGGGTGCGGTGGCGCCATGCGAACCCTGCCACTGGGGCTTTCGGTGCAGTTCCCTATGGTCCCACGAAGCGTGTGAGGGGTGTGCCGAAATGGGTGCGGTGGCGCCATGCGAACCCTGCCATTGGGGCCTTCGGTGGAGCTTCCTATGGGGCTACGAAGTGTAAGTGGTGTGCCGAAACAAACAGAGACATGCGGAGGGCATAAGCAAGGAGAGAGGGAGGAGGGAGGAGGGTAAGGAGGAGGAGACGCGGGGCGCTGTCTCTTCGAAACGAGGACCCAACACCACAGGATGGATGGGGAAAAGAGGTGATGATGATGTGGGAGGCGGGAAAAAAGGATTACCCCAGTGCGCTACCTAGAAGTTGGAGCCCCTAGGAAAGCAGCATTAGTTGCTATGCTATGCTGTGTTATGCTATGCTATGTTATGATATGCTATGTTATGCTGCGCTATGCTATACTGTGCTGTGCTGCGCTATGCTATGCTATGCTACGCTATGCTAAGCTATGCTATGTCATGCTGCGCTGTGCTATGCTAAGCGATGCTATGATATGCTATGCTATGCTAAGCTGCGCTATGCTATGCTATGCGATGCCATGCTATGCTATGCTATGCTATGCTGCGCTATGCTATGCTATGCTATGCTATGCTGGGTCATGCTATGATATGCTGTGCTGCGCTATGCTATGCTACGCTGTGCTCTGCTACGCTAAAACTCAGCGAAACTAAGATGAAGGTAAGCTAAGCTAAGATTCATCTGAGCTAAGATGAAGCTAAGCTAAACTAAGATAAAATAGGCTAAGCTAAGATGAGATCAGCAACGCTAAGCTAAGCGGGGCGGGGACCGGGGGAACCGCCCGGGGCTAGCCCCACTGCCCGGCCCCTTTAAACTAACAGAGTAAGAACCCTTCTAGGCAGAGCCTAGGTAGGGAATGAGGTGGAGGAGGACGACAGGGAGTTGGAGGATGAGGAGGACGAGGAGGAAAGGGTGGAGGAGGAGGAGGGGAGGAGGCGGAGCTTGTTAGTGATGAGATGGACGCAGTGGGTACGATCAACATGGCGCTGTAAGGAGGGTTGCAGTATGATGATACGCAATCAGGACGGAAAGAGGAAGAGCATGAGGCCTTGGCCGCAGCTGATGTTTGGTCGGTGCAGTTGATGGTGCCGTGGTTAAACATGGAGGAGGATGAGGAAGAGGTCGACGACGACGATGGCGAGGGAGGAGGAAGAGGCGGGATCCTGAAAAACAAGAGTGGAGAGGCAAGAGGATGAACTGGGAGGAGACAGGAGAAGGCGGATGGCGGAATGTGACGTAGGAAGGTGGAGGCAGGAGAAGGAAAATGGAGGATGGAGATGGAGGAGGGAGAGGAGGAGGGGAGGAGGAATCAATTAGCCAGTCAAGCTCGGCAGCTTGAGCGAGGCGGCAATTGACCCCGCCCCACTCCCACAAGTCTTCCAATCTCGTAAGATCCAATGCCGACGCAGCTGGAAACTGCGATTGGCGCGCTCCACCCGCTGCACGAACGGAAGTCGGGGTTGTTAAAGATGCCCCTGGCCCAAGGTGCCAGTCAAAATTGACTGCACCACATGCTTGCGCCGCTTTGCGTGCACGCCTTGGACTCCCTTTCCTGGGAAGAACTTGACTCTGCCCTCAAGCCTCGGGGAGGAGCTTGAGGGGCATTCTCTCCCGGAGCCCCCCCAGGTGGAGGCGCGGTTCCTGCAGCTGACGGCTGGCGCCGAGCCCTGGGTGTCCGCGAGGACGTTCGCGATCCGCATGAGGCCCGTCGTCGTCGTCTCTGTCGTCGCCGTCGTCTCTGTCGCTGTCGTTGTCGTCGTCGTCGTCGTCGTCTCTGTCGTCGTCTCTGTCGTCGTCGTCTCTGTCGTCGTCTCTGTCGTCGTCGTCGTCGTCGTCGTCGTCGTCGTCGTCGTCGTCGTCGTCTCTGTCGTCGTCTCTGTCGTCTCTGTCGGCGTCGGCGCTCCCTGCGGCGGCGTGCGGCGTCGGCGCTCCCTGCGGCGGCGTCGTCCGCTGGGGCGAGGGCGCGAGGGCGCGAGCGAGGGAGGGAGCGAGGTGGGGCCGGGCCTCGGGGCCTCAGCGCCTCGGTGCGGAGAGCCCAATGTGTGTGTGTTCTCCAGAGAAGGCTGGTCCCATGAAGTGGTAGTCAAACATACTCTGGGGACTATTTTTCTGGTATTGTTGAGCGTTTTTGGAGCATTGTTTTTGTTGTTGTCGCCGAAAATCCCCCCGTAGGGGGACACGGCCGACTTAATGTTCCCAAGAAGAAGCTTCGTGCAGACCAAGAGGTGAATCGGGAAGAATCCCCCGATCTCGGAGAAGACAAGAACAAGAACAAGGGCAAGCACGGCCCTACTGAACGCGAAGGCAGTGTTCAGAAGAATGTTGAACACTTCAAAGGCGCCGACGGCGCGGCATCCCCCATGCATCGAAGATTCGGCGCGACCCTCGGACCCCATCCGGGAGACCGCCAGTTGCTGTTTTCACGACCAGAGGATCACCGGCCTATATAGGTCATGGCAATGCATGAGCGCGCATTCTTAAAACAAAGTATTGAGAAAGCGATGATTTATTGAAGCGAGAAGTGGATTTATTTAATTGCGCTACCGAATCAAAACAAGGCAAAACATAAGTTTGCAAACGCAAAAGCCAGTTTACTAAATTCAAAACGGACTTTCTAAATCCGGTGCCGTTTTTCGAAATCCCAGATCCCTTTGTTACCATGTCTTGCCTGAGTGGCTCGATCAGAGGAGGTGGGGGCACGTGCGGTAAGTTCGTGTCGTGTCGACGCGGCTGCGACCCAGCCGTGGGAGTTCAGCGTTGGATACCGCTGGCGACACAGGATCGGTCGATGTTGAACGATCTGACGCTTCGGAAACGGCCGATCGTTCAAGAATCGAACGATCCCAGCGGTGTCAAAAACCATTGCTGGGGGCGGGGGCAGCGGCCAGCACAAGTGCAGCACGCTGCGGAGAGGAGGGGAGTCGGTCCAAGGGCTCGCACCTGCGTCCGAGGCCGAGGCTCTGGCACTCGTATTGGGCTCACGGTAGGCTAGTGACCGAACATGTTGTTTGGGTGAAGGGCAAATGGTGAAATCTGAAATGCCGCTTCGATAAATTTTCAAGGCTCGAATTTACAAAAGGCTGCAAAGCCCATATGGATTTCACCCTGAGCCCTCCACCCTGAGAACATGCTCAGAGTGAGTGCGCGCATACTCTTTCTTCTGGTTCTAGATCACTGACTCTCCGGGCGGGCCATGGCCCACGCTCCGCTGTTTTTCTTGTTGGCTCCCAGAAAAAAGGCACTGCTGGGGTCGACCCGACACGAGGCCGCGGCACGTGTAGGGTGCCTGCCACGCAGCGCCCGCCCGGCGCGCGGCGGCGCGGGCGCCGGGCCCCCCGGGAGGCCCTGGGCCTACGCTGGCGACAGCGCGCGCGTGGAGCAGCAGTGGCGCGAGATGGAGGCGCTGGGCGTGCGGCCAGAGGCCGGGGCCCGTCGTCGTCGTCGTCGCTGCCGCCGCCGCCGCCGCATTCGTCGTCGTCGTCGTCGTCGTCGTCGTCGTCGGCGGCGGCGGCGGCGGCGGCGTCGTCGTCGTCGTCGGTGGCGGCGGTGTCGTCGTCGTCGTCGTCGTCGCGCAAAGGCAGCCCCCCCCTCCGGGGCAACGACCGGGGGGGGGCGCACGGGCTCAGGGGGGCGGGGGCGTCGACCCCCGCTCGCCCACTCCGTCGCCGGGAGAGAGGGCCCGCCCGACGGGCCCATCCCCGCCCAGGCAGGCGATCGCCAACATGGATCAAGGGGGCGTGGATTAGCGACGGGTCCCGCTTCCGTGGGAAATCGCAGATTGCCGCCGCCGAGCGAGGCGGCACAGGCCGCATTTTGAGGAGGGCACTTCCCCCGATCCGTGGTTTTGGCGACCGCGCGCCAAATCCATGGATCGCGAATCCATGTTTGCGTGCCCCCGAGCCCAGGAGCGTGCGGAGGCGCCATCGGGGGCACATCGCCGCTCAGTCGGCGATGCACCGCCAATCCAGGCCGATGTCTCCCTCCTGAGCCAGCCTGAAGTCGGGCCTGTCCCTCTACAGGGGCAATCTTCAAGAATGTTAAAACATAGTCTGGGGACGATGTTTTTTTTGAGTATGTTCGGCTATTTTCTGGGGGGAGGTGGGGGGGCGGCGGGGTATTTCTCGAACAGGTGCTATTCTTCGCCCACGCTCCGCCTGTCAGGGGACATGCCAGACCCAAAGCCAGCCCCCTCCCTGTCCTTGCCTTAAGTCGGGCTACAGGAGGAAAATTCCAAAATAGTTCAAAAAACTCTGGGGACTAGTTTTTCAGTATTTTTTTGCATTTGGGGGGTATTTTGGGTGTATTTTTAATTTGTCGTCCAATGTCGGCTTGTAGGGGGACAGGCCCGATTTAATCCGTGCCCCTCACTCCAGGGCAGCCCCGACGGGCTGCGGCAGGCCCCCTTCGCGCAGCCCGAGGCGGCCTGGCGCCGCCTCCAGCGTTGCCCCTCGGGCCCTCCGCGCCCGGCCCACCGGCCGCCGCGAGCTGTTACGGTGCAGTGCCGGGCCGGACCCCTCCGCCCGGGGTCGGAGCAGACGGTCAAACAGTGGCGAAGCGTCCTGGTTCGCTTCGAACCCGGAGAGGCAACTAAGAACCCCCCTCTCCGGCGAAAGTATAACGCTCCAGCACCCTGGAAGCGTTACCTTGGCACCTCGCAACCTGCTTTGAACGCAGACGAGTCTGCCCGCCGAAACAAGGAAACCGCCTGAATCATATACGTCGCCATCGTCGTCATCAGCGTTACCGTCGCAGCGGCAGTAGCATGAGTCAGGATGGTAATAGGAACATCTAGGAATCCTACAGATTCCCATTGGGATACCGCCCGAGCCAAGGCGCGGGAAATCTGTATTTTCCTTTTTTTGCGCGGTGCTAAAGGGATCGTTCCGCGAAAGCCGCCCCCAGGAATCATTTAATTACAGTGCGGTGCTAACGATAACCTCGGGGGGTTCTTAACTGCTCACTGAGGTTAGGCCGACCAAATAATGGTCTAAGAGCCTCTTGTGGTCTGCGCGAAAGATTATTAGAACATTTCTGGCTGGGACTGTCTTGTTTTAGCACATCGGGCTTGCGTTCTCCGAACATTTGTTTTGGTTATTAGAGCATTTCTGGGTTCCAAGAAAATGCCGTGGTAGGCCTGTAGAAATGCTGGGACGGACGGTCCCTGCTCAAGATGGTGCCGGAGGACCGCGCCGCATCGGCGACGCATCGGTGATGCGGCTCAATGCGGGGGCCGAGCTTCTCCACGCTCACGTCGCCGATGCATCGCCGATCCATCGCCGATGCGTTGCCGAGGTGTCGCCGAGGCGTCGCCGAGGCGTCGGCCATGCATCGGCGACGCGGCGCGAGCCCCCGACCCCATCTGTCGGAGGTTGATGGACCTCCTAGCCTGACGCGTCGACTAGCGAAATGGCCGTTTTCTGCTCGCGGGAGGGCGTCGCGGCCGGCCTTTTGCGGGTCCAGCCAGGTCCGTCGGTTTCGGTCTTGGGCCGTTTTATCTACAGGGTGCTTTAGTCAAGGGAGATTTGCCCACCGCCGAATTTGCTCGGACCCCACCTACTGGACGCCTCTTGCCGCGGCGTGAGCTTCGCCAGCGCCAGGGCCGCGGCGGCGCCCGCGGGGGCCCGCCCCTCTGGCCACGCGGGTATACTGCGCGCGCCGCAGGAAGGCCGCCAGGGCCGCTGGCTGGGCGAGCACGACCCGCCTGTGCTTCAGGGTTGGGGTGGTTGACCCAGAAGGGGGTCCAGCGACAAGGGGGTGGAGCAGCAGATTTGGTGCAATAGATTTATAGGGTTGCAACACACTTGGGACGTGCAATACATTCCGGGGCGCAAATTTAATGCTGGATTTTCGCGTGAACAAGCATCAGTTGCGATACAATGCAATACATTTCTCCCGGGCAATGCATTTGCAAGACACTTGCGCTCCAACTCTATTGCACCACCCCCTTCCAGCTGGACCCCCTTTTTGGGTCACCCCCAATGTTGGGGTGGCTGAGACCGCCCTGGGCATCTCGGGGGGCGTGTTGCGGCCAGCCGGGCCCCTACAGGGGGAATATTCAAGAATAGTCAGAAAATAGTCAGCGGACGATTTTGCATATTTTTGACGATATGCATATTTCCCAACCATTCTGTGGTGTTGGGTCCACGTTTTGAAGAGACAGCACCCGCGTCCTCCTTCCTTCTCCTCCCGCTGCCCCCCCTCCCTCTCCCCTTCATCAGCATCATCGTCACCATCATCACCATCACCCATCATCCATCAGTATCATCATCCGTAGCATCATCCTCATCAGCATCAGCATCAGCAGCATCAGCATCAGCATCAGCATCATCATCAGCATCATCATCATCATCACTATCATCATCCTCTATCATAATCATCATCATCTGCATCATCATCAACATCATCAACATCAGCATCGTCATCATGATCATCATCTTCATCATCATCATCATCATCATCATCATCATCATCATCATCATCGTCATCGTCATCGTCATCGTCATCGTCATCATCATCATCATCATCATCATCATCATCATCATCATCATCATCATCATCATCATCATCATCGTCCCCACCACCCATGTCGGCACACCCCTCACACGTTTCGTGGCCCGATAGGGAGCTCCACTGAAGGTCCCAGTGGCGGAACTCGCATTGCGGCGCCGCCCCATTCTGGCACACTCCTCACACGTTTCGTGGCCCACAGGGAGCTCCACCTAAGCTCCCATGGCGGCGCCGCTCCATTCTGGCGCACCCCTCACACGTTTCGTGGTTCATAGGGAGCTCCTCCGAAGGTCCCAGTTGCGGAACTCGATGGCGGCGCCGCCCCATGTTGGCACACCCCTCACACGTGTCGCGGCCCCATAGGGAGCTCCACCTAAGGACCCCGTGGCGGAACTCGCATGGCGGCGCCGCCCCATTGTGGCGCACCCCTCACAGGTTTCGTGGCCCCATAGGGAGCTCCACCTAAGGTCCCAGTGGCGGAACTCTCATTGCGGCGCCGCCCCATTTTGGCACACCCCTCACACGTTTCGTGGCCCCACAGGGAGTTCCACCTAAGGTCCCCGTGGCGGAACTCGCATGGCGGCGCCGCTCCATTTTGGCACAACCCTCACACGATTCGTGGCCCCATATGGAGCTCCACCTAAGATGCCAGTGGCGGAACTCGCATGGCGGTGCCGCCCCATATTGGCACAACCTTCACACGATTCGTGGCCCCACAGGGAGCTCCACCTAAGATGCCAGTGGCGGAACTCGCATTGCGGCGCCGCCCCATATTGGCACAACCCTCACACGATTCGTGGCCCCATAGGGAGCTCCACCTCAGGTGCCAGTGGCGGAACTCGCATGGCGGCGCCGCCCCATTCTGGCACAAACCTCACACGCTTCGTGGCCCCATAGGGAGCTCCACTTAAGGGCCCAGTGGCGGAACTCGCATGGCGGCGCCGCCCCATTTTGGCGCACCCCTCATACATTTCGTGGCGGAACTCGCATGGCGGCGCCGCCCCATGACGTAGATAGTCCAGCGGCGCCGCCGCGCGATTCCGCCACCGCGCTTGGGCGAGCGCCTGGGCGGGGGGGCGGGCGCAGGGGGAGGGGAGAGGGTGGAGGGTCCATGGAACCCGTCACTCCCGACATCGTATTTGGGCACGTTCTCCGTCTGGAAGGCCAACAACACAGGGACTTGGTCAAAGGTCTGACCCGCGCGCGTCGCTGGGACCCTCTCGGGGCCACCAGCGCGCGTCGCGGGAATTCCGCGCTGCGCTCTGCCCAGAGCCTCGCTCGCCCCCCTCGTCGCTCTGCCCAGCGGCCACAGCCTTGCCCGTTATCAGCCAGCCGGCTAGCCTTCTCTGTTCCGCGCGGCGGACGACCCGCGCGCGTCGCCGGGACCCCTTCGGGGCGACCAGCGTGCGTCGAGGGAACTCCGTGCGGTACCGCGCCCGCAGCCATGGACATCGGCGTGCACGGGCAAAGAGGCAGAAAAACAAAGGGAGGGCGCGATCCTTGTGAGGAGCGTGCTGGCATGGGCGTCGACATTCATGCACGTCGATTGATTCGCACGCAGATTCATTAACAATCAAACTCACTCGCGCTCAGGCTCACCCGTTCTCAGTCTCTCGCACTCAGACCGACCGTCTCGGTTCGTAGCGTGAACCCCGCCACGCATTCCGGCACGCCACTCACACGGTTCGTGGCCCCATAAGGGAGCGCGGGCGAAGATGCTATTCACAATTGCGGTATTCACAACTGCATATGGTTAGGGCCTTCGCCTGGTTATTGTTCTGGGACGCTCGATTTTGACAATTCTCCGAAACTGAAGGTTTTTGAAAGGTTCCGACATGCGCGCGCGCGACGACGTGCGCGTGTGCACTTCGTCCTGTTCGTAGCAAGGGATCCTTGGAAAGTTATGGTTTGTGA